GCCCGCAAGAAGTGCCGCTATGTCCCACATAAGAGCCATGGCGGTGGAGGACGATTCTGGGACAGCCGACCGGCACGTTCGGTTATTACGTATCTTCCGGGTCTGGTTTGCGATTGGTTTTTTTCGACTCTTGAACTTGTTACCAGCTTTAGTAAGCTTTAGTATCTTTATTTCAATATATTTCGGTTACTTAAGGAAAACATTGATAAACTTTAAAGAAAAAAAATCATGTTTGTATAATGATTCTCGAATATTTTGAGAAATTTTTTGAATGGACTTTTAGAAATTGGAACTTGAGGAAAACATATATAAACTTTATATAAAATCATGTTTATATGATGATGCTTGAATGCTTTTGAGAAATTTTTTTGGATAAACTTTCAGAAATTGGAACTTAAGAAAAACATATATAAATTTTATATAAGATCATATTTGCGTAATGATTCTTGAGTGTATTAAAAAACTTTTTGGATGAGCTTTCAGATATTGGACTGTTATGCGTTGTTGATGCAACGATCGCGGATATTGATTTTTGTTTTTTACTTTGGATTAATAATCTAATAATCTAATTTAAATTTCTTCTTTGTTCAAAATAAATAATCCTATATTTTCCGCGCGAGAGAATGACAAGCAATATCGCAAAAAGTGTTCAATGAACATTTTCCTTAAAATTACTTTTGGAACTAATAACCATACGAGTAATGTTAGAAGTAAGTGAGAAAAATGAGAAGATTTACGAGCAGCTCTTCTGCTACTAAATGCCATGACTTGTCCTTTCTCTGCTTATTATTCCACTTCAAGAGCGCAGATGGTGGTTGAACCACTTAAGTCCGTAATTCAGCATTTACTTACAGACCGAGAGACAACGCGTTCGCATTTTCTGCCGTTGTTACGAACAAAAAGTCCGTCCGTGATTATATCCGTGCGCCGTGAGTGTTACATAAATTTTTTGTGAAGCTGCCATAAAAGAATGATGGAAAGCAAGGACAGTGGCGATCTCAAAGTCGCGTCCGCGTGGAAGCAAACGTTTTTTTTTTGTGAACGCGGGGACTCGTTTGATTATGCGTTACGACGAGACAAGTGGATCACTAGTACGTTTCTTGTAGCATGTCATTAGAGTAAATCCATGACGCCTTTGTCGACCGAGTGGGATTTCCTCGTCGATTACTCCTCCCGCACCGGTTCCTCCCGGTCCCGCGCCGAGTCAGGGAACATCGTGTTCCGTTCTTCGATATTTGTCATCTGTAATGCTGAGAAAAATGCGCTGAGAAAAAAATGCTGAATGTTGAATCAACAGCATTAGTCTAATTGGAAATAATTTTGTTAATTCAATGACATTATTAATGAAACGAAGATCTTGATTATTAAAACAAGAATGTACTGTTTCATTAATAATTCCTTTCATTAAATTAACAAAATTATTTCCAATTAGACTAATGCTGTTGATTCAACAGCATTTTTTTCTCAGTATAGATCTGGTAATTTCTGAGCATAACTGAGCAGTGTACCATTATTTCAAGATTTATTTTACACTTTTTACGTGATTTATTGGACAGATATCTTACTTTCTGGTATTTTTTACAAGTTTTAAAAATACGAAAATATCATGTTTTAAGGAAAGGTACAGGACAAAGCTATACGACGCAAGAAACTTTTTACATGTCATTTCTCGCCTCTGACGTCATAATTCAATGTGGCTGCAGACAGACAACCGAGCCTTAACAGATAAAGATATTTCTATGATATTTTACTTGTGCTTTATTTTCCTACACAATTGATAAAAACTCTGAATCATAAGAGTTCACATTTCTTCTATTTCAAAACACCCACATGTTCGTTGTTTATCTGTCGCTGCTTAACGCGCTCGAATGCGATTGCGGAGCAACTAGCATGCATACGAAAAGTGAAGGTGGCGACTTACACATTACACAGGGATATTTGACTGTTCGCCAATAAGCTGAGAAACGAAAAACGAGCGAGTTTCACGGTCGAGATTGGAAATTCAGAATGTACCGCGGCTTAGAGTACATCTAAGAAAATGAAAGAGAGAGAAAGAGGAGGGAAGGGAGGAGGCAACTTCACGCGAATTTTTCCGTTATACATTCCCATGCATACGATATGAGAGATGAGAATGAAAAACGATATTTCTTTTCGGGGCGACTTTTCAAGGAATAAAAGTTAAGCTCTTATCGCGATGCCATCGCTCGTCACGCGATATTTACGCGAAATTTTCATCGCTACCATTGTTCGCTACCGTGGTAGGGAAATCGGGACAACCGTAGCCTTCGATTTTGTGTGTGTGTGTGTGTGTGTGTGTGTGTGTGTGTGTGTGTGTGTGTGTGTGTGTGTGTGTGTCCGCGCGCGTCGTCGCGCGTGTACGACGTACGTACGTCGTAGGTCGAGAGACACCCTACGTCTCGTGTGACGCGTCCGGCGGACGACGGAGGTAAGTACGTAGTACGTCGTACGTCGACGTGTCGTACGTCGTCTACGTCTACCTTACGCGTACCGTACGACCGTACGTACGTACGACGTAGTTACGTAACGTTAAGTTAACTTAACGTAAAACGTAAAACGTAAACGTAAAACGTAACGTCGTACGTACGTACTACGTACTACGTTACGTACGTACGACGACGAGTACGACGACCTAACTAACGTACCGTACGTACGTAGTACGTAACTAACTAACTAAACGTCGTACCGTACGGTCCGGTCCGTTCCGTTACCGTTTACTTTCCTTTACCTTTTTCCGTTTTCCGTTTTCCGTTTCCTTTTTACCGTTTTACCTTTTTTAACCTTTTAACGTTTTAACTTTAAACTTTAACTTAAACTTTAATTTACTTTACTTTAGTTACTTAGTTTACGTTTAAGTACGTAAGTTACGTTAACGTTAATTAACTTTAACGTTTAAGTTTAAACGTTTAACGTTTTACCGTTAACCGTAACCGTTTAACCTTTAAAACTTTAAACGTTAAAACGTTAAAACGTTTAAACGTTAAAAACGTTTTAAAAGTTTAAAAAGTTTAAAACGGTTAAAACGGGTTAAAAAAACGGTTAAACGTTTAAACGTTTAAACGTTTAAAACGTTAAACTAAAATAAACGTAAGTAATAGTAGTATGTATATATATATTATTATATATATTTTTAATTAACAAAATTATTTCCAATTAGACTATGCTATTGATTCAACAGCATTTTTTTTTCTCAGTGTGCGCTTCTCTCCGCGCTCGATCCTCGATCGCATTCCGACGCATTCAAGAAAAACTACTTCCTTGAATTAACCATCAGTTAGCATCACGCATCGCCTCATCGCCGATAGCGTGAACCCTTCATCATGCTGTCAGAATGTGTGCAGGATGTAAAGGATGGACTGGAACAAAGTTGTTCGTCATTATTAACTAACAGTAATTTGTATCTCACTTCTCGGTTCCTGTTTATAATCAATTCAAACTTTATACGGGATAATTATTTAAACAATAATAAAATATGATAATAATAATAATAATAATAATAACGAAATAATTTTGACTGTAAGCACGAAAGGAAAAGTTTCTTTATTTTTCATATATTTAATTAATTTATTTTTCATATAATTATTTTAATTAAATCATTATTAAAATCATTTATTAAATTTCTCTTCTTCTTAATATAATATATTTTTTATGTAAAAATATAATACTAAACATATACAGATATTTTTAAAAATAATTTAATTTATATATAAAAAAATCTGCAACATGAATATTATTTCCGGTCTGAGAATCTTGTAGGAATTTATAATCACGTTCTCGTTTTGATTAATTGAAATGTCAACAAATATTTTACTGCCAACAAATGGATGCATCCTGCCGTTATGCATCAATTCTATCTGGAGCATTGCGATGTTTATTGCATCGTAACAACGAAGTGAATATTATAACTTTCACGGGCGAGCATAGATGCAGATACTGATATCAGCATCCACATTCGTGAAAGTTCGGCTATTCACTTTTCTTCCTGATCAAACGCGAACTGTCGACTTCCTGATCTAGTTCGATGCCGCCACTTCTCTCATAATTACGTTACGTCCGATTTATTTTAATCGGCTATCACTCATCGATTTCATGATTTGTCGTGATGTCGAAATGATGTTCTCCATTCTTCCAGAAGCTACGTTCGAAACATTAACGTCGCTACGTTGTTCGCAATCTTCATCAGATGGAACTGAAATTCTAAAACTCTTTTTCAAGATTCGTATTATATAAATCATAAAAGATATAGCTTTATGATTTTTATATTTTCTTTTGGATCAACTAAAATAATGATAATGATAATAAATACTGAGCATTTACTGAGCATTGTTTTACATATAAGTTCAATAGGAGCGGCAACATGATTGGATTTGCCAAATTCCTCCGAAGTGCTTTTCCGGGTCTTGATTTGTTCAAAATGAGTCAGATCCGAGTCAGATTTCACAGGGATGAAAATCAGATTTAGACCCGGGTCCTCCCACTTCCCGGATGACGAAACCGAGAGAGAGAGAG